GTTTAGACCAAGTTTAGACCACTGCTAGACACGAACCAGATTAGTCCTGTTTACGATAAACTGGGTCTAAACCTGGTATGGCTAATGGGGTTCCTCCCCCCCTCCCCCCCGCGTAGCGCGCACCTCCCTCCCCCCCGCCTAGCTCCCCTGCTCTGAGAGAGACGCGGCTCTCAGCGGCACGCGCAAGCGTCAGCGGCCTTGCTTCTTCTCGCTCTGGTCGAGGTTGTGCATGGCAATCTTGAGGGTCCACGCGGCCGCGTCTAGGACTCTTCCGACAGCTTCGCCGTGTCGAAGATCTGCTTGCAGAAGCCGCAGCGCGTCCCCTCATCTTTCGCGCGGTACGTCGGGAGCGAGGCCAGGAACATCGCCTGCGAGCATTTGGTGATGGGCAGTGAGTACCACTGCTCAACCCAACACCACTTCTACTAGCACCTTTGCGGCCGTTGAAATCAACGCGCTTCCGCTTCGCGCCAGGCGCAGGCGCCGCCAGCTGGTCTGTCGCCGCGCCCGACGTCGCGCCCTAACACCGACCGTGCGCCTGATCGGCGAGGCTGTTGTTGCGCGCCGGTGCAAGTGTGCCAGGTGTGCTGTCCGGCCCGAGGCAGAGGATGGCGGCTGCACGCTGCCGCTTCCGCAGCCACAGCGCGGCCGCGGCGGCGGAGCTAGCTAGGGGCGCCCTAAACCGGGTCTAAACCTGGTATGGCTAATGGGGTCCCCCACCCAGGCCGAGCCCTGTTTAGACCCAGTTTATCGTAAACAGGACTAATCTGGTTCGTGTTCAGCCGTGGTCTAAACTGGGTCTAAACATGGTCTAAACTGGTTCGCTTGATACCCTCATAGCAGATGAGGCTCATGCCATGAGGAGTAGATGAGGGGAGATGGGGTCCCCCAGCCTGCCGCGGGCGCCGATTTTTTTTCGCGATATTTTTCTTGCGTATTTTTTTACTTGTTTTCATGGGGGAACGGCGACCCTTGCGGCCATGCTATCACGCCTTGCGACAGCCTGTCGGCGCTGCTGAACGTGCCCTGCTGCACAACTGACCGCCTCCCTGCATAGCTCGCGGCCTTAGTCTTCAGCATTCAGTGACGACCCGATCGTACGGCCAGTAGGAAGGTGTCCTTCCAGCGCGTGCACGCTTCTGACGCAATGCCCGTCACAAACCTCGGATTGGCTGCTGGCACTGGAGTGATCTGTCGGCGGTCAGTACGACCGATCAGGTTGGAGTTTTCTGATGATTGGAGGGTCTATCTGTATGTACTCCTCGAGATCTCTCCAAATCTGCCCTCCGATTAACCTAGCTTAATCGGGAAGTCGGTAGCTCGGTACTCTGACTGAGTGAGCGACTCTGAGCGCCGCGGAGCCCCGTTTTCCGCCGTGACCTGTACCTCTCTCTAAGGTATTGCCAAAGTTGCAACACAAACACTAAAACTCAAACACATCTCTCTCTCTCTAAATAAAGTTGTCACAAAGCACTATTAATTAAGCCCTCCCCGCCCCCCGCCAACTCCCTCCCAGACACAGAACACAAACGCGCACCCCCGTGCCCACTGTTACCCCCCGACCCACCCCCGATCGGCGCCCGCATCTCCGCATCTGCGGCCCTTAAAATTGGCTCGAATAGCCGAAATTTACGCTTGGAAGCCCCAAAGCTTTGGGGTAAGACAATTCAGGCCGGAAGGACGGCTCTGCAGCATGTCGCTCCGGGGTTCATGATACCGTTCCCGTCTCCGACGCGGCGCGCCGCGGGTGAGGCAGCTAGCGAAGCTGGCCTCCATCCATCGGCGAGCTGGCGTCCTCTGAAGCTGGGATTGCTGCTGCTGCTGTCGGTCTCGCTATGCGCCATCGGGCATATTCAGGCAGCTGCGAGTGAGGAGGCATCAGCAGGCAGATCGCAGCGCCGTTTGCTGTTCTCGGCGCTTTGGCTGGGGCCTCCACTGCAGTCGCAGATGCCTGCTGCGTCGCAACCTCCTCGGCAAGCGTTGCAGCCACTAAGACCGCCGCCGCTGAGGCCGCCGCTGAGGCAGCCGCCGAGGCAGCCGCCGAGGCAGCTGCCGACGGCTCCGCTAGGCTCGCGAGACTCGAGGCTCGGGCCTGAACTATCGGCGCTCACTTCGCCACAGCTGCCCGCGGGTCCATCATACGGCGCGCGGCTAGCGTCACCAATGGCTAGGCAGTTGTCTGAATCTGCTTCTCCGCCGCCCACAGTGCCGCGCCCGTCGCCCCCCCCACCATCACCACCACCGCCCACAGAACCGAAGCCGTCACCGCCGCCGCCCTCGCCGCCGCCACCCTCGCCACCCTCGCCCTCGCCATCGCCTGACCCCTCACCACCCCCACCGTCGCCGCCGCCACCTGAGGCTCCGGCACCAGAACCACCCCCGCCCTCGCCACCGCCGCCATCCGGCCTGCCACCACTCTCTCCCTCGCCACCAGCCGCACCGCCGCCTAGCCCACCGCCGCCCTCGCCTCCACCACCGGCTGAGCCAGCACCCTCTCCACCCCCGCCCTCCCCGCCACCACCCTCCCCTCCGCCACTGCCACCGCCATCCTCACCTCCGCCGCCCGCACCGCCGCCCTCGCCGCCGCCATCGCCCCCACCGTCGCCGCCGCCACCAGCCCCACCGCCACCATCGCCACCGCCGCCATAAGGGCTGCCACCGCTCTCGCCCTCGCCGCCAGCCGCGCCGCCGCCCTCGCCGCCACCTTCGCCGCCGCCGCCCTTCCCACCA